ATATATACACGCACACACACAAAATATATAAAATATATATACATATATACAAAAAGATGTAGCTAAGGAAAGTCCATTTTCAGGATTTGTGATTTTCAAAATCTAAAGAAATCATCTGAGAAACTAACCAATAACAACTCACAAAAATCAACTGCTTGGTCAGTGTGAAAACTATTTTGGGATATATAAGTTTTATTCACCATAAACTTTTTATTTCAGCCTAAAGTGGCACATCATAAGCTAGAGGAGGGCAGGCTGAGCCAGTATACCTACAAACCTTTTATTTTAAGACTTTAATCGTTTATCAATTGTCTTGTTCCATATTTTTAGGATTTATTGGCGGCAGTTCCGCAATCGACCGGCAGGTGCCGCTGCTGCACCGTTGGAAGGACAGTTACACCACTTCGGCTGCTACCTTCACGTGCGTACTTAATTGCATTGTTTTCCCTTCCAGTTTAAGCGCATGCGATGCACATTTGTAAAAGCTAAATAACTTTTTTTTTTACTAGATATCAGAACAATATGATATCTGTTTGCATAACTAATAAAATAACTATTAATTATAATAATGATAATAACTAAGTAATAAAAATATGTTGTAGCTTAGGTGAAAATAAGTGACATGGAAAATTCTAAATAAAGTATTAATAATAAAAATAGCTGGAAAAAACATAAATCGATGTAGTGATTGCTTGTATTTTTTCAGGATCACTGTTTTGCACTAAAGATGCCATGCTGATATTTCTCTTTTGATGGCCTCTGCAAGCCTCCGCGTTGAAGGTCGAGCTTTATGAGTGGAGTTAAAGGACATCCAGATATTAGTGAGCATAAAACCTTCACACTAATTAAATGATTGCAACACTTTGGCAGAAGAACTGACAGAACAATTCAAAAAAAGGCAACCAAATTCCCCACATACAACAACCACACCTCACACACTTCCAGTTTCTTAAATTATCCCATATAAAAAGCCCAGAAGAAGCATGAATGAAAATTAAGGCGATGCCACGGTAAACTTTTCCTTCCGTTGTTATAATACTGCTTACAACTGCTTTGAAGTGATTGCGGGCATTGAGGTCACTGAGCCCATTAGTGTCATGTTATTGCTGGCAACTTTTTTTTTTTTTTTTTTTTTTGCTCTGTGAATTTATGGTGCAGTTCACATTGTGCAATGGAAATTTTAAATAGTTTTTAAGCTCGCTATATTTACATAGTCTCGGACCACTTACATGTGTGCACATGCTCCTGCAGTAAAGGTTGATTCAGTACAGGGTTAAGTTTAGAAACACCAGCCTGTTATTTTTAGGTCTTTTTTCCCCCAACTGTGGTAACTGAGCTAAAACTGCACCTTTGTATGGAGATGATCCTGTATCGTGCTGTTTCAAAACACTAATGCTTGTCTTTTATCACTGTCTATTTCATTTCTCTGAAACACCTACTCCTTAAAAGATACAAATTTTAATTAAACTCTTTCATCCGATCTTTGATCTACACTTCCTGTGGGTATCACTTCCTAAAAAGGCATGCTTCATACAAGTTTTTGCAAGTAGTAACTTATTGCAGTTTCAGCAGTTAATAATTAATAATCAGAGCAACTTAAAGAAAAAAGGCATGCTGCATGAGGTTTGTATTGATTTAGAGATATTTTTTAATTATTTTCTAGGGATTTTACCCTTTATTAACATCTTATTAACGTGTGAGCTATCTGCAGACTTGATGGCTGCCACAATTTATAACCCACTTATTACAATGAAAGCAGCATACACCCATTTAATAGACCTGGAAACCTGTTAGAGCTTGTAAGTAGGCTACAGTTTTACTAAATGATTTAACCTTTGAATAAGTATAAATAAAGCCACTGGTTAAAACTTACACACCTTTTATTAAAAAAAAGGTGACTTATCAGACCATGTGGACTGTATTCAACTACCCCCCCGCGCCTCCTGCTTTTATTCTGTGATGTTGCCTCTATTTTTCTGCGCACTTTGAGCTACATTTACACCCAGTGCGCAATAAATAAAGCAGATATCACGGATCATTTTTATTGATTGAAGTGCTTTCGTGTGTGCGGGTGCTTTTTCCACTGCGGGCGTGTGCATTTAACCGCGCGCTAGTTTCTGTGGCGGCAGGGGTGGTGAAAGACAGAGAGAGAGAGAGAAAAGAAACCTTCATGTGAGCTGTCTATGTGAAAGTAGTTCCGGGCACTTAACCCAAAGAGGGGAGAGTCCCGGATGTTGGCTCGGCCGCCGAAAGAAAGGCGAACGGGTGAAGGCGGAGAGAAGCTGAAGAGGGACGCCACGGCACCGCAGGCACACCGGCGAAGCCACGGTCACAGCGGCTCTTCACACAGGACGATAGCGTCAGGAGCGCAGGACATCCCCGAGGGGGGAGGGCAACCCGCTATCCGAAGAAGAGGAGGTGAAGGAAGGGGGGAGACAGTTACTCTGAAAACTACCGTGAGGATTACAGAGAGCCACCGTCACAGCAGCTTTCACCCTGAGTAAGTGAGCTATACGGGCATGGAAGTTGAACTAAGGCCCACGAAATGGACGACTTTAACGGGGAAGTGAGCTGCACTGAAGTTGTGGGGATTGCGCCCAGTGAACAGGCCCTGACACACGGTTCTCCACTCGCTGTGCTGAGGCGTGAGGGGGGACTCCTGGTTTTTTTTCCCCCTTCTTCTTCTGCTCAGGGAGCCAGTCAGTGTTTCCCCCGTGGTCAGTGTTAGTACACCCCGGCCGTGCTGCTGCAACTCTCCAAGTTGACAGCTCTTGCGTTAGCCTGCTAACACCGCCGTGCAACCGGTGACAACTGACAGGGCAACTTTGACAGCTAGCTAGCCAGTTTTGGTAGCCAGCTAACTTTAGCAGAGTGTTGTGGGCGCTTTCTCCAGGGCCAGGGCTAGGTGTGTTTGTGTGTACGCTTGTGCTTTTCCTCGCTTTAGGTGGCTGTATAATGACCTACCCCAGCCCTCCACAGCTATCGTTAAGCTAGCTGTTTGGTATGTGAGACGATGTGTGTCCAGCATGGAGTGAGTGTGTGCATGAGCCCAGTGTCATTTGGCTTTCCTGCGTGCTCTGACGGTATTTGACTCACAGCTGTTGCAGTGTGTTTTCTCGTCTGTCAATCGTCTGCTTCTCGGGCGAGGTTATAAATTCCTGCAGGAAAAATAATGATCCTAGCATGAAAAAGATGGGGGGGACCCCCTCAAAAATCTAGTCGACCTGTGTGAGAAGGGCGAAGGATTGTCATGAGGCTGGGCAATCAACAAGTGCAAAGCGTGTTTCAGGTGCATTTTACGCCGCTGATTTTGATCTCCAGTCTGCCTCTGTGCCGCTGTGCATTGTCCTGAGACGGCACAGGCGGGTATTGCGGTTAACTCTTTGGTCATTTGTGCAAGATTTCTCGGGGCATGCTTTTTCTTATCTCTTATGTTTTTTCTAGTAGTGAGTTTGTGATCGTTCAGAATAAGGCACGCACACGCGCACACGCACAAAACCCCAAAACAAAACAGCTGCGACATTTGCATGTAGTTGTGTACAAAAACGGCGCTCTTCCCTTTTTATCCCGACTTCCTTTATTAAAAGATGGATGACTGAACTCTTAATTTGCACTGCTGTCAACTCGTGCAGGCTTTATCAACGGATTCAGTGTGCTATTGCAGAGATGGGCTTGCAACGAGCTAATCATCATATACTCTCAATTAAATTTGCCATAAAGCCGGCGAAAAAAGGTTAAATTTATGACTAAATCCAAGCGTAATAAATTCCCCCCTAACATCCCAACCATGCCAGACCTTATGCTTCAACTAACAAAATGCCCATAGCATTAGTCAGCACCCACAATCAAAGGTCAGACCTGGTTTGCTTCTTAATCACCCATCCTTTAAATAGCAGGCCCACAGAGCTGTCTGGATCGAGGCTATCTGTGCGTGCAGCTGTAGAAGACACATGGTGTTTAAGTGTGCATGGTGTTTGAAGTTGTTCCATCCAGGTCACTAGAGCCACAGTGGTTCCATTAGGCGTATTGTGGGGAAATGAGCATGCATGCTTACCCCGTCATTTTTATCATTCGAGTTTCAAGAAGTGACACGAAACAAGATGTGTGAAAAGTCTTAAGTTTGCTATGTGTTTTTTGGTGCTTGATGCAATTCACTAAAGTCGCCTTTTTATAAACACTGCTGTTTTTATAACCAAGATCTGTCACCGGGCTGTGTGACACTGGTAGTATTTGCAGTTCTTATCTGACTTGAAGTATGGCTAATGCATGCTTTTTAAAGGCTGCTGCAAAAGTATACAACACACACACACACACACGCACTGCTGTAACATCCATTTAATTCATTTTAGTCTGTAAGCAATGCTCATGTTCATTTCTGTTTAAAGCTGAAAATGCTGGGCAGGCTCAGACTTGGAGGTTCCTTCATGTGTATTATGTACAGTAGTTTATAGTTTACAATTTGATATCAAACGGAGCCTGGTTTGGGATTTTATTTGTCATAGTAAAAAGAAAGAAAACAGTTGTTCATCTTTGATAAATTGATTGACTATTTGAGAAGAAAGTGCAAAGCACATTACACACGTAACCATTTTTAAATGTGCATGGGAGGATGAGATTCAGGTTCATCTGTAGTTTTGACCTACTGTGGTTTTTGAAGTATCCTGCTTAATGGTTAAAAAAAAAAAACCCAAACACCTACATCATCTGTGTGTGTGTGTGTGTGTGTGTGTGTGTGTGTGTGTGTGTGAGAGATGACAATAACATTTATCTACCATCTCTGAAGAAAAATTAATTTGTTGGCATGTGCAGAAGACAAGGAACATAAATATAAAATATTGCATCACAGGTACTGTTATGCTTGGAGGTGTATAATTTAATAGACTAAATAGAATAATGACATGATATTGGGATAATTTTGATGTATGTCAGGGGTCAGAAAGCCAGTATTGTACTGTGAATTCAGAACAGCTTTTTACTTTTTTGAATATGAGCTCATTTGGTATTCAGTATGTGGCCCTGTGCCTAGCCGGTCTCACTGAGAGGCTTTTTAATTTCTCCCCTTGTTGAAGTGATTATTCAAATGGCCATCCGTGAGGTGCAGTTATCAGACTCCTGGTGCTAGTTGAGCCTGTGGCAACATGAAGGCCCATCACAGCCCCCCCACCGCCCTGTGTAGTTGGACAGCACCCAACAGGTACCCTCTGTTGCAACCCCTATTAGACGGTCACATCTTCCCCCTCAGGCTGAAAACCTTTTGTGTTATGCGATTGGCAGATGGCAATTTATTCATGAGGACTGCTGATGCTTTGGGTCAGAGGGCTCTGTTTAGTATTTTTTACAATGACTTAGTTTTGGTCTGAATCCAAAGTGGCTTGTTTCAGTCTTTCGCTCTCTGCTCTGGAATGTGAAGTTATTTTAGGTCTTTTTTTTTTTTTCTTCCCTCCTCACTTCATCGCCCATCATCTTGTCCTTCAGCGTGTTTTTCTTCTTGGATGAGCGAAAAAACAGGATCTTCCTTCTCATTTCAACAGCTGTTTGCTCTGCATGGAGGCCAGGCTCAGGCACACTGACTGGACAGTTTTTGGGTTTTTTTTGTTTTTTTTTTTGTTTGAAAAATTCTCCCTGTACCCTGCTTATATCCGGCGTTGGATGTTTCACTCTCGTGGAAGCCGCGTTTGGTGAGAAGAGACTGGCTCAGTCTTCATTAGCAAAGCCGTGCATCACTAGAATGCCGATGAGCTATGAAGCCATTCATCTGCTGGAAATGCCTCCCTGATTCCAATTTGAATCTTGTTTGCAGTCACATTGTGTGAGCCCACTTCTCCATGTTAAAGAAGTCTCTTTATGTGAGAGATCAGAGGGGGATAATTGCACTTAAGTGAACCTCATTTAGTGCTGGCCAGAGCAATTACAGTAACTGCAGTTCTAGGCATTTTTGGGGCCTGGAGCAGCTGTCATTGAGTCTCTGTAGCTGAGATATCAAATGGTGAATAGAATGGCATTGCCATGCCATCATGGGAATGGCATATCCTTGGATGGATTTTAATTAGTTTTTGCAGGTTTTTGCTCAGCGCTTTTCTTTTCTTTTCTTTTTTCTCCATTTGAAGAAAAGCATAATTAAAAATGACAATTAGAAATGCATTATTTTAGTAATGATTGAAAATAAATTATTCTCAAGGTGCTGTAAGGTGAAAAAAGCCAGCAATGTTTCTTCAGGCAAAACCCCCTGGGCTTGAGGGAAATGTTTTATCATTAATGTTATTCAGGAGCCAAATTTTGGGTTTTGCTCAGCTGGGTGCTTTAATCTATTTTTGCTGTAAATTAATGAATTTTTAAAGAGCCCCTCGCTGGATATGGGTGGATGTGGGAATGCAGCGCTGGTTCGGTTTTCAAATGAGCCTCTCCTCCTCCTCCGTCACCCCCACCCTCCTCACGGGATGGAGAGAATGAATTTGCTGAAGCACTACACTTTTCATTTTTTATTCATCCAGCAATCCACTGTCTAGTTCTCCTCATCCTACCTCCTCCTCATCTATTGAAGTGAATTTGTCAGTGAACTAGTCTTGTATGCGCCAATTCACGTCCTGGATTGGAGTTGGGCGTAGATGTGAATTGGTGAGGGAGTCATGGGATATTTAATTCAGCTGGCTCTTTTGCTCATATTATCAGTACATTTGCTCAGATGCATGTTTTATCTAAAAGTGTGTATCGATTTATGTCTGTCTGACTAATCAGGGACGATCTCTTTGCAAGGGGAACTACAGTAACTACCCACACTAGAGTTTGCCGGGTAAGTTTAGAAAGTGGAGAAGAAATGGGTGGGGTAGGAGCGGAGGGGAGAGGAGGGGGGTTTGGCGGCTCTTGTATTGCATGGCGATTTCGGTGAGTCATTACAGCCTTGTGGTAGCAAGAAGGATATATATATATTTTTTTTTTAATTTTGTGGCAATTTTACTATAAATGTGTAACTTGATCTTATCTTTGCATTGGGTTTAAGCAGAGGTGCGTGACCAAAAGTGTTACGAAAATGATGGTTAGATGGTTTTACTGTAGTAGATGTGCAAAGGAAATCGGGCCCTGCAAGTCATAATGACGCGAAAACAAAAGTGTTTCTGAGTAAATGCACATTGTGTGTGTGCAGTAGCTGTGTCGTGTAAGATTTTACTTACATGAGTGCTAATGAAGACCCAAATCCTAAACGAATAAAATGGGCCTCAGTTTTCAGTTCCTTGACGGATTTAATAATTCATCATATTGTTTGCTTTGTCCTTGAGTTTTAATAGGCCCTCAGTATCAGTGTAGGCTTTTTTTTTTCCTTTTGGCTGGTTGCTTAGTAGAAGGAGTTGATATATGATTCACACTCTTAGGAGACCTTCGCGCTTTGTGCAGGAAGGAGAGCTCGCTAAGCCGACGCAGCTTAAGTAATAAGAGTGGAGCTTTCATCCTAGTATTTGGTATCTGTTTTAATCATTACTTTGGCTCGCGTGGCAGAAATAAAATCCAATTTTTAGGCAGCATTCCTAGAGAACAGGGAAATTTTTAAACTTAATACGGTAGCACTTACAGCTGACTAAACAATGCAGCTTTTCCTGCATACCAGTCGCCACAGAACTTCCATTTATGACATATCATACGAATGGCGGCAATAACTGCTGCACTAAGGTCTCTTCATGAAATGACACTTTAATAACACGATATTCCCAGATGTTACGTCCAGCTCCCGCCTGTGGACTGCATGCATGACATGGCAATTTATAGGTGATAGCATAGCAATAATACATGGAGAGCGTAACATAAACCAGACTTGATTGAATATGATAATCTTTGTGCTGTGAGATGCAGCAGCTGGTTCACAGGTACAAGCATACATAAACCACTTAAGATGTACAAATTTACAGCCAAGGTGAATTCACTTGCTAAAAAAAAAGGTCAGCAGTGTGCGGTTGGATAATCTCTCGTGTGGATGCCACTTGCTTGTCTACTACAGCGGAATTAGTGTCTGAAAAGGAAGCATGCACTGCAAGTTGCAATTCTGTCTGCCCTCCTAGGTTTATTGTCTTTATAGCATGATTGTGTTAATGCTGTTGCAATGTAGTTACGGTAGGGGAAAAAAAGAATTGTCATTTGGTTGAACATCAGTCTGCAGAATCCAAAAGGCAAAGTCGGAGAAGGTCAGTTTTAATTTTGGTCCACAATCCTAAGGCTGAATGGTGAGGGCTTGCCACATCACTTTGGTTCATACTAGGGCTGCAACAAACGATTATTTTTGCGATTAGTCGACTAATCAGATCATGCATCCATTGGACGTACAGCTTATTGCACCAGCAGCATCTGCTCTTATATAACTATCATTAGCTTACAGCTTTAAGTGTTTATGTTATTATAGTGTTAAGTGTTATGATAGTTTATTAAATTTTCATGAAATTTGCTGATTGTTTTGGTGAAGTTTAATAAACTCCTTGCTATCTAAAATATAACAGGACACCGAAGTATATTTTCGAGCATCTCACACTTCTGATAATCAGTTGTCTGCTTGATGTTTATTCAGCTGTGTAAAAACTATAACTTTAATCTCAGCCAAACCGATTTACTCAGGAACAAATAAAATACTAAAAAAAGCCAAACAATAAAATTTTTAAGTTATCTAAGTGACTTGTATATGTTTAACCTGAGTAGCGAAAGACGGCGGTGGGTTTGAAAACGATTTGCCGGGACTCCGGTGTTCTCACGGGCTCTAGTGAGCCTTGCCGAAACGTCTCAGACGTCTCCGAAAACATCGGAGCGCTTTTGAAAATATGTGGTGTCTTGATAAACTGAGCAGATATTTGAGGTTTACACAGCTACATTCTCGCCTGAAAATATGTTAAACGTTTATTTTGTGGCTTAGAAAGAATAATAAGAGTAATATTAAAACTAACTAGCTGCCGCCATTGTTGGAAACTGAGCTGGGCTGCGCTATGAATTCTGAGACAGAGCTACTTCTTTTTCTTCGGGGTTTAACGGCAGCTGGCATCCTTGTACATGCTGTGCTGCCATCTTCTGTTTCAGTCCATTATTACACTCTTAAATCCTACTACTTATTCCTGCGTCTTTTGTGATCTTACAAAGCTTCAAACGACACGTCGACAATTTTGATAGTTGATGTAATCGTGACTAGTCGACTAATCGTGGCAGCCCTACTGAATACTCTGCCAACAGTAAGCTGGTGGCTGATAGACCATTCATCATGATATCACAAGATAGAACCTGTTTGAGCATATTTTTTTTTTGATCACAACTGAAGGTTGCATTTAGTTGCTTCTTTTCTCTATGTTGTGATTTCTGACAATGTTAAAGTGAGCCTGTCCAGAAATAGCTTAATGCAGCAGTTAGAGTCTGTATGATGTGATGTGTGAGGCTCATGATCTGTAAGGACCAGTGCCAAGTTCTGCAGATGTGGTGTTAGTTGGGAAGGAACTGCAGTGGATCTCTTAGACTCGATGATTTAACACTTCTTTTTCATACCCCTTGCTTGTGCCTCATTATCATCTGTAGTGCTCAGAAGAAGCGCCCGTCAAAAACCTCTCTGCTATCGTCATTTGTTGCTCTTTTTTTTTTTTTTTTTTCTCTGTGTGAAACCTGATGGATTAGCCTTAGTACTTGGAGTCTCCATCTGTGATTCAGAAAACCCCCAACAGAAGCCAAGGATTCTCTCTGTGGAGTTGGAGGAAATGTTGATCTGTGTGTGGACCAGGAAACCCACACGTGGTGACTTGCTCTTGCCCCATCGTTCCGTCCTTGCTCTCACACGTAGCCAGTGTCTTGATTATGGTTTCACATTGTCTCTTCCCTTCTTTTTCTCTCTCTCCGCCATACTCTCCTGTGCTCTTCACTTAGCAAACAACACGTCTGCAGAGAATTCAGAAGAATGCATCTTGTTACTAGATGAGTCATACTTCCTCTGGTTTGCATGCCTCTCCCTCAGGGTGGATGAATGAGAGGGCGGAGAGGTTAGCTGGAGGAGGGGCTCGGTGGCTGAAGCAACATGGTCTGTGCCAGTTGCCCAATGTAATTAAGAAGTTATCAGTGCATTGGTCACAGGCCATGAGCTGCCTAGATCAGCGCTGCCTCACAGATGTGGTTGTCCCAAGGTGGCTACGTGACTGACAGCTTTGACCAGGGTGAGTCACTGCCTTCAAAAAGTAACTGTTTGGAAATCTCAGGCTCTGACCCTGTAAGTCAGCCTCTCTGCCAAGGTGCTGTGGCCCTGGGAGAGGAGCCCAGAGCCTCAGCTCTAGGGAGAAACAAGACAGCACCTGCAATTTGAGAAATGTCTCTGGTCTACTGAAGGAAATTTATATGGCAGAATGAGAAGACTGTAGATGAGTTTGCATGCAGTTATTATGCTTCAGTGTTTCTCAGGAGGCCTGACTTTGGGATAAATGTTTAAAAAATAGATTAAAGTTTTTTTATTTATTTATTTTTGGTGTGAATTTCACATGCAGTTAAGTGTCTAACACTGGTTTTAATTTCCTAAACGTATGCTTTCAATTTGGCTTAATTTCACTTTGCGTCACAAAATGCACAGAACTGAAAACAATTTTGATTATCTGTATAAAGCTGATGAAACAGTATCAGGCCTCTCCTGGCTCTTCCTCTGTCTTTCCCCATACCTGCTCTGCTTGGTCCCCTGCCAGAACCTATGACTCACAGGAGACTGAGTGACCTACTTTTTTTTTTTTTGTCTTCTAGGAGTGCCAGAAGATCTTTCTTATTTGCAAGACGATACACTGGGTAAATATAAGTCAATTAAAATGCACTTAATGCACCCATTTTTGGATTTAAGCACCTAAAGGCTGTGTCAGCATGGCGGCCACCTCAGAGAATTCCTTTCATTATTACAAGCAAAAAAGAAACGTAGTAAACAGGCGAGCTTTGATATCTCATTAGATGGAAACTGAGTTTAAGGCCACACTGGCTCTCATCAAGCCAATTTAAAAATATAACTCATTTAAGCAATCTCATAATCCTGCTATATCTCTGTACGTTTATATTGCTCATTCCCAGTTTATCCTGGTTGTCAGAGATTATGGTTTGAAAGCATTTAAACAGAATCAGTGAAAGCTGCCTAGTCGGCTTTTGCTGATTCTCAAGGCCTAGTCGGCTTTTCTTTCTCCAATGATGGAGTTCTGGCTGTACTGTTAAGGTGAAGTTTGAACAGTTGCTTTTATGTATGCCACTGATTAGTCAGGAGATAAAAAGTTTGGGTATACATGCAATCTTTCAAATGCCTGGTTTATAGTTTGCCCACCTCTGAAAAGAAAACAGGGATAGGATCAAAAGCCATAGGATCACTGAGATGGCTTGAGCTGGTTTTTGATTGGAAAAATATGCCGCTTTGCACCAGATGGAATTTCCACTTTAATCGCTAATTGCCGTTTTTTGGTCGTGTTGTCTCTCATTGATGCAGAAACAAGCTGTGCAGTTGAATGTGCTGTCTTGGCTGCTCTTTTTCCCTTCTACAAGGCTTGGCTTCTTTGATATGTCAGTTTTGTGTTAGTCTGCCGCCTTCGTCTTGACACGATTGGCCCCGCTTGCTCCGACCTCCTGGAAACCCCCCAGCATGCCCGCCCCAGGGTGTGTGTTCAGTCATTTATTCGGCTTCCTCTAAAAGACTGCCATGCCTTCACTTCCCTTCTAGTTTCCCTCCTCTTATTAAGATGCAGAAGGCAGAGCAGTGTTTGGTCTGAAAGGCTTAGTGCTGGGGAGTTACTGGTGTGTACAGTGGGGGGTCAGGGAGGGACTGTAGGCATGGGGACTTCAATGACTTAATGTGTGCTGTGTGGCCCCGGCCACACTTGTGCTAAGTTTTGCAGGCAGCTCACATTGCTCTGATTTATGCCTTTTTGTGTGAGTCCATTCACAGAAAGTCAAAATGATGCTCTGACAAAAGTGACTATAATTGGAGGGGAACAAATTATGAAGTCTTTGGTTAATGCAGATTGCTGCTTGAGTTTATGCCTGATAATCCCTATTTAGTCATCTGAAATGGCTGCCTTTTTGAAACCTCTTTTATTTTTATCATTTCTTTTCTCCAATGAATTTTGTCACGTGTTTTCTTCTTTTTTTGAGGTCCCAGTGGTGAACCACTTTGACCATCAGTCGAGCATTTTGATTCTCTTCTTTGCTTTATCAAACATTTTGCTCTCAGTGAAATCCTCCAGGCGCCTTTTAGTGGCACACCTACATTGTTACCCATTTACTCCAGTATATAATCAGCCTGCTACAAAAGCGTGACCTTGAATTTGCTGGTTGTGTGGTTCGCTAGAATATTGCTTACAAACCAAAAAGCATGGCTTCGAATCTACACTAGTGGTACTCGTTAGGGGTGGGTGTAACCCACAATGTGAAAATATTACAATACATTGGCCTCTAACAACAGTATCATGACTCTTTGTGAAACTAAAGTATAAAATAAAAAAACCCTAACAAAAAAAGCATCAAGCAGGTATTCATTTACTGGTATTTGTATATGCCCATGGCCACTTGCTTGTATTGGGTTGGACCCCCATTTGCCTTCTTCATGGCATAGATTCAACAAGGTGCTGGAAACATTCCTCAGTGATATGGTGATATGGTCCATATTGAAATATATGAATCTCCCTTTGAACTCGCTGTGGTTTTGGGGAGGCGGGAAAAACACTTTTAAATTATCTGAGCTTTATAGAAGGTACACTGTGGTTATAAAGGGAGGGAGGTGATCAGTAAGGAAGGCTGTGGTGGTTAAACCGTGCTTGCATGGTATTAAGGGCCAGAAGTCTGAACCAGTAGCAACCTGAACTATTGTTACAAAGCGGGATGGACCCAAGCTTTTATGTTTTTTACACTAAATGCTGTCTTCCATTGTCAAATATTGGTGAGCATGTGCAAGTTGTATGCTGGCTTTCCTGTTCTTAGCTAACAGAAGTGTGACCTGGTGTGGTTTGCTCCTGTAGCCCATCTGCTTCAAGTTTTGATGTGCTGTGCGTTCACAGATGCTCTTCTGCAGACCTCCCTTGTAACAAGTGGTAATTTGAGCTACTATTGCCTTCCTGTCAGTTCCTATCTCTGTTCTGATGTTTGGTGTGAAGTTCAGCAGATCATCATCATCATCATCATTATGTCTTCATGCCGAAATTCATTGAGTTGGTGCCATGCGATTGGCTGATTAGATGTTTGCACCAACAAACTGTTGAACACATGTACCTAACAAAGTTGTGTGTGTGTGTGTGTGTGTGTGTGTGTGTGTTAATAAGTTATAATGGCAAAGTTTTAGCTCTGTAATTAGCTCACCTCTGTGTCTGCCATTTCCCCCCCGTTAGTTCCTTCCCTTAAAGATGGCTAAATAGTAACTCTGGTAAGTCAAATTAGTGGGAGAATCAGAGCGGCTGCACGTTTTGGCTCAATATTTGGCACCAGCCTCCTGATAATTGCATTGCAGTATCAATATTTTGTCTCACCCCTCGCACTGGTGCCAGCTAGTTTTGTTTTTTTCTTCTCTTACCATCTTCTACATAAAATCTCATCATGACCTACAAAATCTAGATGACACAATGCTGACCAATTAATCATATTTTTGCTGTCACAGTGATATGAACATAGAAGATAAATGAAACAACTTTCTACAGACTAAGGAAGATTTTTTTTATCCATAGTTTGGGGGGTTGATGTTCAGGGGTTTTCCGTCACACAAAAATTCCTCAAAGAGTATCAGAATAAGGAATATATTAATCTTAAAGTTTTCAAAATCGGGCGTCAATAACAAAATAACACGAGACTTCTAAGTAAGGCAGCCTGGTTGCCTTTAACTATATGTAGATCAATCGTGCTTATGTGCATTAAATGCATTGTCACCAGCCAGGTTGTCAGGTGACAGGATGAATTCACGAGTGTTTAGCAGGCTATCATTTCTGCAGAATGAAGGCCAACAGCAACCTTAGGTGACCAGTGTTTCCTCTCAAAGAAAAAATAAAATAAAACTACTGTAACTAGGGCTGCTCGATTATGGCAAAAATGATAATCACGATTATTTTCACTGAAATTGAGATC